CCCCAAAACCCCAAAACCCCAAAACCCCAAAACCCCTATTTTTACAGAATACGTTGAGTCTAAATTCAAATTATTAGAGGATATACACTTTGGTTCATTTCTCGAATAGATACTTTGTAGTCGTCTTGGGACAAATGACATACCCATTATTCTCTTTCGCCTGCTCCTTGAGTGCCTTCTCTGAATAAATATGGCTATTTGGCAACATTAGTGGAGGATTGTTCTCATCCATTAATTTCCCAGAAATTCTTCATATGAGTGATGTATGAGACTTCTGAACAAATGGAACCTCACTGCAAATTTTTCTGAAAGAAAGACTACATGTCGGGCAACTTTCATTGAAGAATTCATCGTCTGAGCAAAATATTGTCTTTAACAATCATCATCCAATGCTCATGCATTTCATCAGCATTGGTGTCTTAGTAAGGGAGTAAATCTTTCAGCTCTCTTCAATAAACATATCAACTAAAGACTCCCATTTTTCATCACTAAAAAGCTCCATGTATCTTGGAATTTTCATCAAATTCTCAGTTGGATGAGAAAGCATTCCCATAATTCTTTGTAGCTTGGGAAGATTGTCCTTACCAATACCACTAAAGTTATCTCTTGCGTATTCTACTGCTTTCAAAGAGTCAATTTTCACCAGCTCAATAAACTCTTGCATCCTCAACTCAAACTCAAGGGAACTACTAAGCTTAGACTTATACAACGAGCACCATTCTATCGCTTCCTGACACTTCTTCCTCCTAAGCGCCTCTACAATCGCATTTATCTCCATATAAAACTCAAAATCACTAAACTCCTCAAGTCCCACCTCATCAATAAGTATCTTCGCACTCTGTACATACCCCTCTCTCATCATATACTCAACTATCAGCCTCCATATCATCTTCTCATAATACTCATTCTGCACAATCTTATCCTCCCAGTGACTCTGCACATGCCCCAAATACTCCAGCCTAGTTTCTAAATTTCTGAGCAACTGGTCTTCTCTGTCACTCATAGCTTTATATTCATCTCTTAGTTTTAGAACATTCTGTTTGATTGTGTGTACGGTGGTTTTTATGTGGCTGAAATCTTTGAGGTTTTTGGTTAGGTTTACTTGGGAAATTATCTGTTTTTCTATGTGGCGTTTGGAGGTGCGGAAGGATTTTGAGAGGCGTTCGTGGACGATTTGGGTAAAGCTAGAGTCCATTAGGGATTTTGGGTGGAAATTGTTATAAATTTTTGGGCTTAAAAGGGGTTTTGGGGTTTTGGGGTTTTGGGGTTTTGGGG